GTCCGGCCACCAAAGTTGACGGGGCCGGTACCAAAATGACCGGGCCGCCGTCCTCTTCCTACCCCGGCCAGGTCCCGTCGCCAGCCGCCGTGGTTTCGCCGGAAAAACGAGGAGAAAAGCTCCGGTTTTGACAGAAAATTCGCCGGCTTCGTTCTCCGTCGTCCGGCCGCCATTTTTGGCGATCAAGGTATGGAAAATTCATCCCTTCTGCATGATCTAGCTGATGGTTGGGTAGGATTGCATCGATTTTGAGTCTAGATTATCTGATTTTCGAGTTAGGGTTCGGCCGGATTTCGGGATGAGATTCCGGCCACTTCCGGTCAGTTTTGGGGTATTCCAAGAACAAAAGTGGCTCAGATTAGGGTGTTACATCTAGGGTAGGAGCTGGGCCGGCGGTTTGGAGTTTTCCGGCCGCCGGAATACTCAAGGCACCCACGCGCTGCCGGCGCGTGTGGGCGGCGCGTGGGCTAGGGAAAGGACCGGCGAGGTTTGTAAAATGATCTCCTGGTTGTCATGAGCGCGTAGGTGTGCTCGGATCTCAATTTGGATAGTGTTAGAGTCCCGAACGGATATCGCATATCGCGTGTTTCCGGGTTCGCTGGGTTTGGACCGTTGGGATGGTCCTGAAGTTATAATATGTTGATCTAGGTATTACCAGGATCGTGTAGGATTTGACGGATCGTAAAAACGGAGTCCCGGATACTCAGAAATGCCAACCCTGGGGTTAGGGTTTTAGTAACCGTCCGATCGTGCGATCGTGAGCGATCCGACCGTCCGATCTGGACCAAACTTGCAGGACGTGCATCCTAGAGCTTGTAGAACCTATAGGAACTTTCGGATCGGAAATTGGAGGTCGTGGGCCCCGCGGGCCCGTTTGACCAAGGTTGGGTAGTTTGACCCTGGTTTGTCTGTGGGACTTCCTAGGTAGTATTACATTCCTAGGAAGATTAAAATGACCGTGGTGACAGGTCCTGATGTCATGGGGGATTATGGGGGATTATCGGATGCTAGTTGTTTGTTAAGGTGTTGTATGATTAGAAATTATGTATATTTAATTGATTGTATGGAGGTATAATGATATATAAGGAGATTGAATATTAGTTTACAGTGCTATACGCACTACCCCACGTACCCCTCATATTGTGATTGGTCAGGCCAAGTGATAGTGTGAGTCGCACGCGTCTTTGGGTTAGCCGGCGTGTTGACAGACCCCGTACGTGGCCGGGTGGGCCCGACGTATGAGTGGAGATATGATTGTGGAGGGCTGGTGAGAATGTAGCCAGGCCCAGTGTGAGGTCGCACGCGTCTTTGGGTTAGCCGGCGTGTTGACAGACCCCGTACGTGGCCGGGTGCGTCCCGACGTATGAGTGGGAGTTATGATTGTGTGAGGGCTGGTGAGAATGTAGCCAGGCCCAGTGTGAGGTCGCACGCGTCTTTGGGTTAGCCGGCGTGTTGACAGACCCCGTACGTGGCCGGGTACGTCCCGACGTATGAGTGGGAGATATGATGGTATGAGGGCTGGTGAGAATGTAGCCAGGCCCAGTGTGAGGTCGCACGCGTCTTTGGGTTAGCCGGCGTGTTGACAGACCCCGTACGTGGCCGGGTGCGTCCCGACGTATGAGTGGGAGATATGATGGTATGAGGGCTGGTGAGAATGTAGCCAGGCCCAGTGTGAGGTCGCACGCGTCTTTGGGTTAGCCGGCGTGTTGACAGACCCCGTACGTGGCCGGGTGCGTCCCGACGTATGAGTGGGAGATATGATGGTATGATGGCTGGTGAGAATGTAGCCAGGCCCAGTGTGAGGTCGCACGCGTCTTTGGGTTAGCCGGCGTGTTGACAGACCCCGTACGTGGCCGGGTGCGTCCCGACGTATGAGTGGGAGATTGATGGTATGATGGCTGGTGAGAATGTAGCCAGGCCCAGTGTGAGGTCGCACGCGTCTTTGGGATTAGCCGGCGTGTTGACAGACCCCGTACGTGGCCGGGTACGTCCCGACGTATGAGTGGGAGCTATGTAATTGTGTTTGGGGTGTTGTGATGGATAAACCCTAGAATGTATGAATTTATATGGATGTGATGGTTTAATTGATATCAGGAGCCAGGATTGATAGGAAAGAGCTACGTGTGGCTTGATCCCTTAGTAGGGTACGTAGGCAGCCTGGGATAGCGCCTAGGTGCAGCCACGACTTAGACACCACTTAGGTGGTTTTATCGTGTATGATGCGGACCTCGTGGTTGGTCCCGAAACTTGGTTGAATTGAGGCTTGTCCGGTGGACTGAGTGAGTGAAGGTGTGCATAGGAGATTTGAATTGGTTATGTGCATGGTTGATGCATGGAGTTATTTTGAAAAACAGTGTGAGTAGTTCTGCTAGAATCATTTGAAGGCCGGAGGCCATTTATGTAAATTGCATGAGATTATATTGTGCGTGCTGCTGGTTGGGTATCAAAATGTGTTTTATGCAGGTGGAAATTTTGGGGAATGTTCAATTTACAGGGGAGACTCTGCCGAATTTTCGGCAGAAAGTCTCGTGCCCTAATCCTCTATGGTGAACGAGGACGTAGATTTAAGGAGTAACCCGGCGTGGGTGTGATGCCGGGGTCTCCGCAGGGTTCGTCTCGGGTTCCGGGAAATTCGGGACGGGTCCTGTCATTAAAAAATTAATAAAAGAAAATTAACAAAAATACTTACCTCGGTTAGGACGATTTGCCCACTTCTATACAAAGTTCATCGCTTTTGCCAAGGCATTCTTTCTCCACCATTTTGTCACTCTTTGTTGAGAAGTTCTCCACCTACTCGAAATTCATTTCCGTAACAAGGCGACTCCGGAATTTTTTCGCAAAATTCGGCATGAAATTTATTTCCACTATGGGAAAATTTTTATCTCATGCCTGTCACGGGGGACAATGGACTGACAGGGACCCGTCCCGAATTTCCCGGAACCCGAGACGAACCCTGCGGAGACCCCGGCATCACACCCACGCCGGGTTTACTCCTTAAATCTACGTCCTCGTTTACCATAGAGGATTAAGGGCACGAGACTTTCTGCCAAAATTTCGGCAGAGTCTCCCCTGTAAATTGAACATTCCCCAAAATTTCCACCTGCATAAAACACATTTTATAACCCAACCAGCAGCACGCACAATATAATCTCATGCAATTTACATAAATGGCCTCCGGCCTTCAATGATTCTAACAAACTGCCCACACTGTTTTCAAAATAACTTACTGCATCACACATGCATATAACCAATTCAAAATCCATCCATACACACCTTCATTCACTCAGTCCACCGGACAAGCCTCAATTCAACCAAGTTTCGGGACCAACCACGAGGTCCGCATCATACTCGATAAAACCACCTAAGTGGTGTCTAGGTCGTGGCTGCACCTAGGCGCTATCCCAGGCTGCCTACGTACCCTACTAAGGGATCAAGCCACACGTAGCTCTTTCCTATCAATCCTGGCTCCTAATATCAAATCAACCATTCCATCCATATAAATTCATACATTCTACGGTTTCATCCATCTCAACACACCAAACACAATCACATAGCTCCCCTCATACGACGGGACGCACCCGGCCACGTATGGGGTCTGTCAACACGCCGGCTAATCCAAAGACGCGTGCGACCTCACACTGGGCCTGGCTACATTCTCACCAGCCATCATACCATCATATCTCCCACTCATACGTCGGGACGTACCCGGCCACGTACGGGGTCTGTCAACACGCCGGCTAACCCAAAGACGCGTGCGACCTCACACTGGGCCTGGCTACATTCTCACCAGCCCTCACACCATCATATCTCCCACTCATACGTCGGGACGCACCCGGCCACGTACGGGGTCTGTCAACACGCCGGCTAACCCAAAGACGCGTGCGACCTCACACTGGGCCTGGCTACATTCTCACCAGCCCTCACACAATCATATCTCCCACTCATACGTCGGGACGCACCCGGCCACGTACGGGGTCTGTCAACACGCCGGCTAACCCAAAGACGCGTGCGACCTCACACTATCACTTGGGCCTGAGCATAATCACAATATGAGGGGGTACGTGGGGTAGTGCGTATAGCACTGTAAACTAACATTCAATCTCCTTATATATCATTATACATCCACACAATTAATTAAATATATCATACAATAACATCAACCAATAAAACATTCCATAAACTCCCCCATTTAAATTCACCAATTATATCCTAAACCCACAATATCCATTTACTCAACAACGCTCAAGACCTGTCACTAAGGTCATCCTAACCCTCAAGGAAAGGTAAGACTATCTCGGAGTCTCACGGTCAACCTAGGGTCAAACGGGCCTGCGGGGCCCACAACCTCCAAATTCCGATCCGAAAGTTCCTATAGGTTCTACAAGCTCTAGGACACGTCCTGCAAGTTTGGTCCAGATCGGACGGTCGGATCGCTCACGATCGCACGATCGGACGGTTACTAAAACCCTAACCCCAGGGTTGGCATTTCTGGAGTATCCGGGACTCCGTTTTACGATCCGTCGAATCCTACACGATCCTGGTAATACCTAGATCAACATATTATAATCTCAGGACCATCCAACGGTCCAAACCCAGCGAACCCGGAAAATACGCGATATGCGATATCCGTTCGGGACTCTAACGATATCCAAATTGAGATCCGAGCACACCTACGCGCTCGTGACAACCTGAGGATCACATTGGGACAAAAATGCCCCTCAGCTACAGTGCCCACGCGCCGCCACACGCGCCGGCAGCGCGTGGGTGTCCAAAGCGATATCGCATCGCCGGAAAAACTTCCAAATCACGGCCAAGACTCCTACCCTAGGTAAAACACCTAATTTGGAGTCACTTTTGTTCTTGGACGTACCCCAAAAACTGACCGGAAGTGGCCGGAATCTCATCCCGAAATCCGGCCGAACCCTAACTCGAAAATCAGATAATCTAGACTCAAAATCGATGCAATCCTACCCAACCATCAGCTAGATCATGCAGAAGGGATGAATTTCCATACCTTGATCGCCAAAAATGGCGGCCGGACGACGGAGAACGAAGCCGGCGAAGTTTTCTGTCAAAACCGGAGCTTTTCTCCTCGTTTTCCGGCGAAATCACGGCGGCTGGCGGCGGGACCTGGCCGGGGTAGGAAGAGGACGGCGGCCCGGTCATTTTGGTACCGGCCCCGTCGACTTTGGTGGCCGGACGAGAGCACGGCCGGCCAAAACGTGGCCGGCCATGTTCGCTGTCGCGAACCAGAGGAGAGAGAGGGACGCGCGGAGGAGAGAGAGAGTGTGTGAGAGACGGGGGCAATTCCGTCTTTTAACCAAAAATCCCACTTCAAAATATTTACGATTATGCCACTGAGCGTATTTGATCATATCTCTCTCGTTACAACTCCGATTCGAGCCCACTACGTGTCTACGAACTCATCTCGCCGTGCTCTACGCAACGGTACATCCGGAATTCCCAAATTCCTTCCGGGTAAGAAAATGACTAAAATACCCCTATCCCACGGGTAAATTCTTAATTTCGCTCAAATTAATTAAAACATGGGGATAAATTTGGAGTCGGGGTGTTACAAACTACCCCCCTTATAAAAATTTCGTCCCCGAAATTTCATACCTGTCACTCCAAAAGGGTGTGGGTACTGGGCCCGCATCTACTGCTCGGGTTCCCATGCTTCATCCTCCACAACCAAGTTGGCAGCCAAGTCATTCCATTTGATTCAGAAAGGATCATTTTTACCGAATTGTAATCATCATCTTCCTCTCTCTACCATGACCCATTTCTGATTCCGATGAAAGATTTCTGCTCAAACGTGCTCACTGCACACAATCGAGGATTAGCAACATGTTCAGGCAATGGAGGATCCCCAGAAGTAGATTGATCAACTCCATGTCCTCCTGCCCATAGAACTCTACAAACTTCATCCAACACTACTACTTCTCAACTTAATTTGTCACGACCCTCCTTGGTCGGACTCACAACTCCTCCATTCCCATGTAACTTGTCCATCAACTTCCTCTGACAATTTCGTTCATCTCAGCGGATTCAACACTTTCAGCTCTTCCGTTTCCTTCCATAGGATATTGAGATACGACAATTTGGATAGACACGTTTCTAGGAACGTGGCACCCTTAAGTGTACTCATCAATACCCTAAATCCATCCATGTCAAAGAGTCCTCTGCGTCGAAATGAGGACGTCCTGTGACGGAACCCATCATGCTCCCACAACTTAAGGATGCACACAAGGTGCGGGGTCCACAAGAAGTTGAACCTAAGCTCTGATACCAAGCTGACAGGACCCGTCCCGAATTTCCCGGAACCCGAGACGAACCCTGCGGAGACCCCGGCATCACACCCACGCCGGGTTTACTCCTTAAATCTACGTCCTCGTTTACCATAGAGGATTAAGGGCACGAGACTTTCTGCCAAAATTTCGGCAGAGTCTCCCCTGTAAATTGAACATTCCCCAAAATTTCCACCTGCATAAAACACATTTTATAACCCAACCAGCAGCACGCACAATATAATCTCATGCAATTTACATAAATGGCCTCCGGCCTTCAAATGATTCTAGCAAACTGCCCCACACTGTTTTCAAAATAACTTACTGCATCAACATGCATATAACCAATTCAAAATCCATCCATACACACCTTCACTCACTCAGTCCACCGGACAAGCCTCAATTCAACCAAGTTTCGGGACCAACCACGAGGTCCGCATCATACTCGATAAAACCACCTAAGTGGTGTCTAGGTCGTGGCTGCACCTAGGCGCTATCCCAGGCTGCCTACGTACCCTACTAAGGGATCAAGCCACACGTAGCTCTTTCCTATCAATCCCGGCTCCTAATATCAAATCAAACCATTCCATCCATATAAATTCATACATTCTACGGTTTATCCATCTCAACACACCAAACACAATCACATAGCTCCCCTCATACGACGGGACGCACCCGGCCTCGTATGGGGTCTGTCTACACGCCGGCTAATCCAAAGACGCGTGCGACCTCACACTGGGCCTGGCTACATTCTCACCAGCCCATCATACCATCATATCTCCCACTCATACGTCGGGACGTACCCGGCCACGTACGGGGTCTGTCAACACGCCGGCTAACCCAAAGACGCGTGCGACCTCACACTGGGCCTGGCTACATTCTCACCAGCCCTCATACCATCATATCTCCCACTCATACGTCGGGACGCACCCGGCCACGTACGGGGTCTGTCAACACGCCGGCTAACCCAAAGACGCGTGCGACCTCACACTGGGCCTGGCTACATTCTCACCAGCCCTCACACAATCATATCTCCCACTCATACGTCGGGACGCACCCGGCCACGTACGGGGTCTGTCAACACGCCGGCTAACCCAAAGACGCGTGCGACCTCACACTATCACTTGGGCCTGAGCATAATCACAATATGAGGGGGTACGTGGGGTAGTGCGTATAGCACTGTAAACTAACATTCAATCTCCTTATATATCATTATACATCCACACAATTAATTAAATATATCTAATCTACAATAACATCAACCAATAAAACATTCCATAAACTCCCCCATTTAAATTCACCAATTTATATCCTAAACCCACAATATCCATTTTAACTCAACAACGCTCAAGACCTGTCACTAAGGTCATCCTAACCCTCAAGGAAAGGTAAGACTATCTCGGAAGTCTCACGGTCAACCTAGGGTCAAACGGGCCTGCGGGGCCCACAACCTCCAAATTCCGATCCGAAAGTTCCTAGAGGTTCTACAAGCTCTAGGACACATGTCCTGCAAGTTTGGTCCAGATCGGACGGTCGGATTGCTCACGATCGCACAATCGGACGGTTACTAAAACCCTAACCCCAGGGTTGGCATTTCTGGAGTATCCGGGACTCCGTTTTACGATCCGTCGAATCCTACACGATCCTGGTAATACCTAGATCAACATATTATAACTTCAGGACCATCCAACGGTCCAAACCCTAGCGAACCCGGAAAATACGCGATATGCGATATCCGTTCGGGACTCTAACGATATCCAAATTGAGATCCGAGCACACCTACGCGCTCATGACAACCTGAGGATCACATTGGGACAAAAATGCCCCTCAGCTACAGTGCCCACGCGCCGCCACACGCGCCGGCAGCGCGTGGGTGTCCAAAGCGATATCGCATCGCCGGAAAAACTCCAAATCACGGCCCAAGACTCCTACCCTAGGTAAAACACCTAATTTGGAGTCACTTTTGTTCTTGGACGTACCCCAAAAACTGACCGGAAGTGGCCGGAATCTCATCCCGAAATCCGGCCGAACCCTAACTCGAAAATCAGATAATCTAGGCTCAAAATCGATCAATCCTACCCAACCATCAGCTAGATCATGCAGAAGGGATGAATTTCCATACCTTGATCGCCAAAAATGGCGGCCGGACGACGGAGAACGAAGCCGGCGAAGTTTTCTGTCAAAACCGGAGCTTTTCTCCTCGTTTTCCGGCGAAATCACGGCGGCTGGCGGCGGGACCTGGCCGGGGTAGGAAGAGGACGGCGGCCCGGTCATTTTGGTACCGGCCCCGTCGACTTTGGTGGCCGGACGAGAGCACGGCCGGCCAAAACGTGGCCGGCCACGTGGCTGTCGCGAAAACCAGAGGAGAGAGAGAGACGCGCGGGAGAGAGAGAGTGTGAGAGAGACGGGGGCAATTCCGTCTTTTAACCAAAAATCCCACTTCAAAATATTTACGATTATGCCACTGAGCTTCATTTGATCATATCTCTCTCGTTACAACTCCGATTCGAGCCCACTACGTGTCTACGAACTCATCTCGCCGTGCTCTACGCAACGGTACATCCGGAATTCCCAAATTCCTTCCGGGTAAGAAAATGACTAAAATACCCCTATCCCACGGGTAATTTCTCAATTCCACTTAAATAAATTAAACATGGGATAAATTGGGGTCGGGGTGTTACAATGACAAACTCGGAGCCAAGCCTCACACAAAGAAACATCTTCCATGGTGCTCCACGCTCCTCTGGTTTCAATAGAAGAAGCCATAAAAATAAGAAATAAAAATACAAGGTGAAAGAGATGAAAATGTTAAGTGAAGAGTGAAAAAAATGTTGAGTAATTGTAGAAGTAGAATAAAATGTATGAGAATTGGTGTTGAAAGTGAAGGGTATTTATAGGTATTTATAGGAAAAAAAAATCAGAATTTTAAGTTAGTATTTTTTTTTTTTTATATTTAATTTAATTTTTTTTCATAATTTTATTGTTGGAAAATCGCCAGCCGTTGGATGAAGGTTGTGGAATCAAATCGGAGCGCCGGGGGCGTGCCACGTGGCTTCCAGCCGTTGGGCCTGCGTCGCGCTGACGGCAGCGCACGCTGGTTCAAATTTTTTTTACCGTTGGCGCGTGAATTTGATTACCGTGTGTCGACGTCAGCCTGACGTCGACATGACATCACCCCCCGCGTTTTGGACCTCGAGTAGAAGTTGCCTTCAGGCCAGCCCGGGTTGGTGGGTCCCACACCCCCCCTCGGGCCTGGGCTGCCCCGCTGGAACGCAAATTTTTTTTTTTGGGCTGGGCTTGCTGCTGGAGTGGCTCTTAGGGTACCTTAAGACTCTCTTTTTTTCAACAATCCAAACTGTCTATTTTTCAAGTCTTCACTCATAGATCATCCATGTAAAAAAAAATCATACAAATTGAAAATCCTTATGATATCTAATAGAGATCAACAAAATCAATAAACACGATACTTCAAGAGAGTACTTAAATTTCAATAATTTAATTGAATAATCAAATGATATCAGATTCAAGTGATTTTTTTGTAGAGATGATCTTTGAATGAATATCTATAAAAAGTAGACGGTTTGGATTAGTAAAATAAAATAATTTGCATTTGCAAGCACTACAATGATTTTGGCTTAATTATTGTTATACCCCTTGAAACGGGCGCTTGGTCTCACTTTACCCGTTTCTCACTTAACTTCCAAAATCTCTAAAAATTGCTAAAATTTTCTCACTTTACCACTTTTGTCTATTTCTATTCACAAAACCGTTAAGTGTACTGACGTGGTAGGGGAATTTTAATAATTTAGCTATTAAAATACTTTATATTCCAAATTAAATATTAAAAAATAAATTTAATTTTTTTAAAAAAAATTAACTACACAAACCCATCTCTCCCCCTCTCTCGATCATCCTCATCCACCATCATCCAAACCCAATAACCCCCACCACCCAAACCCAGCAAACCCACCCATACTCAAACCCCAACATATCAGCCCCCAAAAATAAACTACCAAAGCCTTGTTTGGTGGGCTAGATTGGACTGGTTAGGATTGAGCTTGGAGTGTTGGACTGGTTTGACTTGAATTGGGTTGGACTTTAATAAGTTGTTTGGTACATTAAGTTGGGCTATACTGCACTAGACTTAAATCCAGTCCGTTATTTGGTACAAGTATGGGCTGGACTGCATCGGACTTCAAAATTTTTTATTTTAAAATTAATTTTAATGTTTATTAGATTATTTAATATAAAAATAATTAAATTTGTATAAAATTAAAAAAAAACATATACACAAAAATAAAAATAAGAAATCACATGAAGATACCATAAAAATAGCCCAGAAATTCACAAAATTAATAACAAACACGAAATTTTTTAAAGATAATTATGAGAGAGAAACAAAATTAGCAGACAAAAAAAAAAAAAAAAAAAAAAAAAGAAACCCATAACTGTGAAATGATATCTTCAATGAAAAGTAAAATCAAAGTTAAAACAATCATCTGCCCAAGGAACAAAACAAAGATTTTTTTAATAGCTAAATTAATCTTTAAAAATAAAAACATATTTAATTGGATTATGAAGTTTTTAATAGCTGAATTATTAAAATGCCCCTGCCACGTCAGCACATTTAACGATTTGAAGACGAAAATAGACAAAAGTTGTAAAGTGAAAAAATTTCAGCAGTTTTTAGAGATTCGGGAGGGATGAGTGAGAAATTTTTAGTTTTATGGGGTACTAAGACCCAGCGGCGGATCCAAGAATTTTTCAGCGGAGGTGCAATTTTTAAAAGCTAAGAGCTCAACAAAAAAAAAGAAAAAAAAAGGGACAACTAAACATCCTTATCATTTAAACAATACTATTGTTATTCATAATTAATTTAAAAATAACATTACAATTAACCTACAATTGTTGCCGACGAGGTTTCATATCCTGAAAACGTCTCATTATATTTGCATTACTAATACAAGAAAAAACATATTTCTCAATGTAACCTACAATTGTTCTCTTCAAAATGTATCTGACATGTTAACGTACATTGAAACAAAATTTCTATCTGATCAATGACCTGGATTACAAATCTATAATAAAAAATAGTATCTTAAACTGTTTATCAAAACGAAGTTTCCCAATTAAATTAATTTCAGAGCTGTTGTTAATTACTTTCAATCATGCACATAATTAATTATATATATATATATATATATCAGCGAGTAATTCAAAACCTACCTTTTCTTTTAGCCTTAGGATCAGAGCAGACAATCTGACTATCTCTGTTTAACCCACAATCTCTCCCACTGGTTTCGCAAACTCTACAATCAGGCGTTGATCAAGTCAATGCAACATCTTCTATGGCATCTCCAAATACACCCAATTCATTCGCAGCTTTTGGTTAAAAAAAAAACATGTGCGCGCGCTGCGAGCAGAGCGCACATCAGCAGGCAGGCAGTCTCTTGCGCATTTCATCGAACACCTTATGTGTGTTGCTGGTCTGAAGCAGAGGTGCAACTCTAACACCTCTAATGGTGATTTCCGGTGACCGGAGGTGCAGGTGCACCTCCTTGCGCCTGCACAGATCCGCCAGTGCTAAGACCTATCGCCTGTTTCGGGGCGTAAAACAGTAATTAAGCCATTATATATATATATATATTTTTTTTTTTTTTTTTTTTTTTTCTTTTTCTTATTCAGAGCATAAGTAGAATGAGAATTGAACTTTTTGTGGCCCCAATAATTGGAGAAAGAATTGGGGAAAGGCCAAGAAAGGATAATGAAACAAATTATTCTTTATAGGGGAAAAACTAATAGAAGATACTAGTTCTCCTTCGCTTCTACTCACCTCAATTTGTCTGACAACTTTCTTCTCTCTCTGGATATCTTATCTGCATAGACTTACTTGTGTGGAGGGGAAAAACGGAGAGCCAAAACAGGACACATTGAAAAGTAGCTCAGTTTTGCTTTATGAATAATCTGCATTTGCAAGCACTGCAATACACACACAAAAGCTCAGATGGATTTCACAGAAGTAGCTACTAAGCCACATGCTGTTTGCATTCCAGTTCCTGCTCAAAGTCATATAAAGGCAGTGCTTAAATTTGCAAAGCTCCTCCACCACAGAGGTTTTCATATAACCTTTGTCAACACAGAGTTCAATCACAAGCGCTTTCTTAAATCTCTAGGACCCAACTCCCTTGATGGCTTGCCTGATTTTCAATTTGAAGCCATCCCGGATAGCCTTCCGGATTCAGATGAAGACGCCACACAAGATGTCACCTTGCTTTGTGAATCCGTCAGAAAACAAAATTTCTTGGTTCCCTTTCTTGCCCTCCTTGCAAAACTCAACAATGATGCCATATCAACATCCAGCAATCCTCCTGTGACTTGCATAGTTTCAGATGGTTTCATGTCCACGTTCACAATCACAGCTGCTGAAGAAATCGGAGTCCCTATAGTACTGTTCTACACTATAGCTGCCTGCAGCTTCATGGGAATTAAACAACTTCGCGCTGTGGTTGAAAAAGGACTTGCTCCACTCAAAGGTGAAATATATAACTATTAATTGAAGCAATTGTTGTTTAACTTATGGTTAACTCTTAACTGCTTGTTTCTAAAATGCAAATGAAATGTTTCTTCAATTGAATTTCATTTGTCTATTGCAGATGAGAGCTGTTTAACAAATGGCTATCTGGAAACGGTAATAGATTGGATCCCAGGAATGAGAGATATCCGTTTGAGGGATCTCCCGACCTTCTTGCGAACCACAAATTCAGATGATATCATTTTTAACTTCATCATGGAAGAAACCGATAGAGCTCATGAAGCTTCGGCAGTTGTTCTTCATACTTTTGATGCCTGGAGCCAGATGTTTTGGATGCTCTCTCATCTATGCTTCCCCATGTGTACACCGTTGGCCCTCTTCAATTGCATCTCAATCAGATACCAGAACACCCTTTGAAAATGGGATACAGTCTATGGAAAGAAGAAACTGAATGCCTCGAGTGGCTAAACACCAAGGCACCAAACTCAGTTGTCTATGTGAATTTCGGCAGTATAGCAGTCGTGACACCAGAACAGCTTGTGGAGTTTGGGTGGGGACTTGCAAATAGCAAGCTTCCATTCTTTTGGGTAATTAGACCTGATCTAGTTATTGGAGAATCCGCTATTTTGCCGCCTGAGTTTGTGGCTGAAACAAAGGAAAGAAGTCTAATAGCTGGGTGGTGCCCACAAGAGCAAGTCCTTAACCACCCCTCAGTTGGAGGATTTTTAACTCACAGCGGTTGGAATTCAACGGTTGAGAGCCTTACTGCAGGAGTTCCTATGCTCTGTTGGCCATTCTTCGGAGACCAGCAAATGGACTGTCGCTATACTTGCAATGAATGGGGCATTGGCATGGAGATTAGTAATGATGTGAAGAGGGATGAGGTAGAGAAGCTTGTCAAAGAGTTAATGGAGGGAGAGAAGGGTAAGAAGATGAAAAATAAGGTGATGGAGTGGAAGAAACTTGCAGAAGAAGCTACTGGTCCACATGGTTCTTCATCCACAAACTTAGACAATTTAGTGAATCAAGTGCTATTGAGAAAAAGTTAAGATGTTTCCATAAGAATATTGATGTTATTAATTATGATTTCCATTGCCATTGTCTCAGATAATCAACTAGCTAGCAATATATATGTAGAATTTTATTCTGATTAAGGTTTCAAGCCTTCAACTCTAAAGTCGCATCATTCTTCAGGCAATTGTGCACTAACCATGATGCATTATATTAATAATATATTAAATTAATAGAACCAGCCCAGTGACTAAGTTAGATTCGTCGTTCGTAGTAACCACACTTGTTTTGGTAGGAGCGGTCATAGAATGTAAATTAAAAGTAAACAATTATGATTATGTTAGAGATAAGCATGTAATTTCTTATTAATTGTTAAATGCTTAATTCGAAAGAAAGAAAAAAAAACAAGAAAACACAAAAAAAAAGGTTAAAGAAAGGAGAAAATCCAAATCCTACTTTGTTTCCTCGTCTTTCCTTATTACCTTAATATGTTTGACAGCTGAGATTCTTGGGCCTTACTATTGAAATTTTTTGGGGGGTCAAAAGTTAGAAGTTCCTTACTTGATTTGGCTCCTAGGAAATTTATGTCATCCCCAATCTTTTTATTTTTATTTTTAATATAAGCGATAGCCTCAACTACAAAGGGAAGGGAGTTTCTCGACACATACCCTACCAAAGTGCCATGGGGATTTGAACTTGAGATCATTGGTCTGCATATCAAAACCCTTTTCCAATGTGCTAGACCTCATTAGCCACGCCAGTCTATTCTTAATTTGCTTGTTGAGGATTGTGTTAGGTTTTGTAATTATACTTAGAGTAGCAATTATGTGCAATTTTCACGCAATACGACACATAGTTAGCATATTATGGTTCACTAATATTCGATACGAAAACAAGGACGAATATACGTGCCACTCTAGCCCAGTGCTGAATTTTTAGAATATACAACAAGCGAAGAAGAACCATTGCTAAATGAAGCAAGGAAATTGCATAATATTACAAATGAAACTAAGCTCTAATTATCTCCATGTGCTCAAAAATCAAACCCGATCGAATGCGTCTTTGTGGTTTGATGAATATAGCGCTTTGCAGTTCAAATATTTTTTATGTGTAGAGAGCTTCTATTGAGGGATTCCTCAAATAAGTTATTTGAGGGACACCCTTATAGGGCCCACTTCACATTGTATTTCACTAATGAAGAATAAGGCCATGGAGTGGAAAACAATTTGAATCTTTATTCTGATTGCTTGATAATGTTTAATTGGTTTAATTGTGAAAAATACTGTATACCCACTCAAATATCATTTACTTGTTTGTTTGTTCTGGGCATTAAATTATGTTGGCTATCTTTGTTTTTAACGTAGACTTTGCCTTCAATTTATTTGATTCCTACAGGGAAAACTTTTGCTTATATAATCACTTTGATTTGCCGAAGGTCTTGATTACATAACCGTTTGTGTTTATATATATTTAATTAGTCTATTGGTATTAGTATTCAATTTCTAAACTGTGCCACCATTATTTATCAAACGGCAATATTTTTCTTTAATGACCAATGTCTCTTCGGGGTCAGCAACTTCTATATGTATAGCCTTGGCTATTTTGGCTCAAAAGACATCTCAATTTGAGCATTTTCTCTCAATTCCTGTCCTCCCACATTATTTCCTTTCCTCACAATTTTCATACAGTTTTATTGTGTTAATTTTATTTTACTTCCAAGGGAAAGATTCAAGTGTTCATCCGATCCAAGTATTGCGAGTGTACGTTTACAAGGATCAAAGGTTGTTGTATCCTGAAGGGTAGGACGTCATAACCTGCTACACTGAGATATTATCTCAGAGGGGCGGATCTACTCTTAAAGACAGTGACTTACACGCCTCAACCTACTGTTCGTGATCAAAGGAGAGCATCCACAACCAATATTTCCAACAATCTTAAGAGTATATCCATGGATGCCATCAGCAAACTTCCTGATGTTTCCAAGATTGATACCTTCAATGGAGCTTTCTTTAAACGCTGGCAAGAACGAGTGTTTTCCACCCTTGATGTTCTCAACCTCTCCACCTACCTTACCAAGCTCAAGCCAATGGAAGGAACCGACAACTACAATAAAGCACTAGCACAGTGGGAGAAAGGTAACAAAATATGTAGGCACACAATTTTGAGCATACTTTCTAATGAGTTGTTTGATATATATTGTTCATACAAAACCGCAAAAGAGATTTGGGAGAATTTGAACAAAAAATACATGATCGAAGATGCTGGCACCCAAAAATATGCAATTGGAAATTTCCTGCAATTCCAAATGGTGGAGAGCAAAGATGTGTCCTTACAAATTCATTATAGTACCACAAGCTTGTCAACGAATTGGAAAATGAGGACGTTGATCTACCTAAACCATTTGTGTGTGGAAGTCTCATTGAAAAGCTCCCTGAATCACGGAAGGACTACAAGAACAACATGAAGCACAAAAGGAAGCAAATGAGCCTTGACTTAATTGTGCACATCCGAATCGAAGAAAAGAACCGTATGCAAGACAAAGTCATCAGAGCCAAAGAAATTTCGTCTAAAGCCAATGTCATCGAAGGTAAATCTTCCAAGAATTACAATAAATCTAAATTTTTTAAATCCCCGTGATCATTACCAAATGATGAAGATAGCTAGTACCTTTTTTTGTTTTGTGAGCCACTGTTTTTTTAGAGACGTTCTAATCAATTATCTTCCTTTGTTTTAATTGCACCGTGGCTTATGTATTTGAGGCCACATGTGTATAAAAATTGATAGCCACAATTTACCTAGGAGAACTGTGGCTTATAATATTGTTTTGCTTGTATGCGCAATCCATTTTTTATCACGGGAGAGAATTTGAATTTTAGAAACATGAAAATAATTGAAACACAAGAATAAGACAAACACCACCGAAGACTTCGAATCAAGAAAAAGGATTCACTTTGCTACTTCATCTAAGTCTTTGTCTTTTTGTCTTGATTGATCAACTGACTTTTCTTTGCACAGTTACTTGTGTGTCGAAAATTTGACTATCAACCAATGACTAACTTGTAGATTAGTTATTTATGTTGCAGGTAAAGTGAAGATCCATTTTGCTACTTCATCTCATTACCTCAATTTTGTCTGACAGCTTGGACATTATCCTCAGTTTCCTATTTTGACTAGTTCCCCAATAATTGGAATGAAAGAGGAAGAAACGATGAGAAAGATGAAGAAATTTCGGAGCAGCGGAGGACAGAAAGGAAGAGAGGAGAGAGCGATGAAGGAGAAGAGGGTTTCCTCCTCTCACTCAGCGACTCCAACGAAGAAAAGAGAAGGGCTGGAGGGCAAAAAGGCCAATTCACTGTCCATAAGTCGCTCAAGGGAGCTGACCATCTCTTAAGCGGGGGCAAAACCGCCATTTTACTATTGCTAAGCTACAGTCTATGAACAGTGAATTCGTGAACTCAGTTTTAGTATATATATAATTTATGTTGCAGGTAAAGTGAAGATCCATTTTGCTACTTCATCTCATTACCTCAATTTTGTCTGACAGCTAGACTTCTTTTTTGGACATTATCCTCAACTAGTTCCCCAATAATTGGGGAAAGAATTGGGGAAAGGTCAAGAAAAGATAATGAAACCAAATTATTCTTTATAGGGGAAAAGCCAATAGAAGATACCAGTTCCCCTTCGCTTCTTCTCACCTCAATTTGTCTGACAACTTTCTTCTCTCTCTGGATATCTTTATCTGCATACACCTGTGTGGAGGGGAAAAAACAGAGAGCCAAAACAGGACAAATTGAAAAGTAGCTCAGTTTTGCTTTATAAATAATCTGCATTTGCAAGCACTGCAATGCACACACAAAAGCTAAAATGGATTCCAAAGAAGTAGCTACTAAGCCACATGCTCTTTGCATTCCAGTTCCTGCTCAAAGTCATATAAAGGCAATGCTTAAATTTGCAAAGCTCCTCCACCACAGAGGTTTTCATATAACCTTCGTTAACACAGAATTTAATCACAAGCGCTTTCTTAGATCTCTAGGACCCAATTCCCTTGATGGCTTGCCTGATTTTCAATTCGAAGCCATCCCGGATAGCCTTCCGGATTCAGATGAAGATGCCACACAAGATGTCACCTTGCTTTGTGAATCCGTCAGAAAACAAAATTTATTGGCTCCCTTTCTTGCCCTCCTTGCAAAACTCAACAATGATGCCATATCAACATCCAGCAATCCTCCTGTGACTTGCATAGTTTCAGATGGTTTCATGTCCACGTTCACAATCACAGCTGCTGAAAAAATCGGAGTCCCTATAGTGCTGTTCTACACTATAGCTGCCTGCAGCTTCATGGGATTTAAACAAATTCGTGCTTTGGTCGAAAAAGGACTTGCACCACTCAAAGGTGAAATATATAACCTTTTAATTGAAGCAATTGTTGTTTAGCTTATGGTTAACTCTTAATTTCTTGTTTCTAAACATGCAAAGAAAATGTTTCTTCAATTGAATTTCATTTGTACTATTGCAGATGAGAGCTGTTTCACAAATGGCTATCTGGACACCGTAATAGATTGGATCCCAGGAATGAGAGATATCCGTTTAAGGGATCTCCCGACCTTCTTTCGTACCACAAATCCGGATGACATCATGTTTAACTTCATCATGGAAGAAACCGATAGAGCTCATGAAGCTTCAGCAATCATTATTCATACTTTTGATGCCTTGGAGCCAGATGTTTTGGATGCTCTCTCATTTATGCTTCCCCGTGTTTACTCCATTGGACCTCTTCAATTGCATCTCAATAAAATACCAGAACACCCTTTGAAAATGGTGGGATACAGTCTATGGAAAGAAGAAACTGAATGCCTCGAGTGGCTAAACACGAAGACACCAAACTCAGTTGTCTATGTGAATTTCGGCAGTATAGCAGTCATGACACCAGAACAGCTGGTGGAGTTTGGGTGGGGACTTGCAAATAGCAAGCTTCCATTCTTTTGGGTAATTAGACCTGATCTAGTTATTGGAGAATCCGCTATTTTGCCGCCAGAATTTGTGGCTGAAACTAAGGGAAGAAGTCTAATAGCTGGGTGGTGCCCACAAGAGCAAGTCCTTAACCACCCATCAGTTGGAGGATTTTTAACGCACAGCGGTTGGAATTCAACAGTTGAGAGCATTACTGCCGGAGTTCCTATGCTCTGTTGGCCATTCTTCGCAGACCAGCAAATGGACTGTCGCTATACTTGCAATGAATGGGGCATTGGCATGGAGATTAGTAATGATGTGAAGAGGGATGAGGTAGAGAAGCTTGTCAAAGAGTTAATGGAGGGTGAGAAGGGTAAGAAGATGAAAAATAAGGTCATGGAGTGGAAGAAACTTGCAGAAGAAGCTACTGGGCCACATGGTTCTTCATCCACAAACTTGGACAATTTAGTGAATCAAGTGCTATTAAGAAAAAGCTAAAGATTTTACCATAAGATGTTAATTATTATTTTTATTGCTATTGTCTCAAATAATCAACTAGCTAGCAATATGTACTCAGGCCTGTAAAACCTATGTTACTACAGCTAGAATTTTATTTTGCTCTAAGATTTTAATTAATTATGTTCAAATTATATATTGATGTCTCCCACAAATACTATATGCTCCAGTGTTGACTGCTTAGAGCATTTTCACCCCATTTGCCATGGCAAAAGGCAAGGGGAGGCAAGGGCTTGTACTATTCATGTAAATAGTGTCTGCCTTAGCAATTTTATTGTTGCTTTTCCACCCTTTGCTAGGGCAAATGGCAATTACTATTCACAACAAATAAATTTTATTTTTATATTTATAAGATTAATTTTGATAAGATTTTTGGATAAAATATATGGATAAGATTTCCGGTGGCCAGGTGTCCATATTTATTATAAAATTCACATCTCATATTTCAGATAAGATTTTCGGTTGCTACTATCACTACTACATTTTTCACTTTGCGCGACGAAGAAAATTTCGTCGCGCAAAATACATTATAGTCGCACAAATTTTAGCGCGACAGAAACTTCGTCGCGCAGATTCCGTCGCGCAAAGATCGTGGAGAAAGACTTTGCGCGACGAAATTTTTTCATTCGTCGCGCAAAGAGACTTTGCGCGACGAAAAAATATTGGTCGCGCAAAGTGACTTTGCGCGACGAAACATATTGGTCGCGCAAAGTAACTTTGCGCGACGAAAATATTGGTCGCGCAAAGCGACTTTGCGCGACGAAAAAATATTTGTCCCGCAAAGCCACTTTGCGCGACGAAAAATATTGGTCGCGCAAAACTTTGCGCGACGAAAAAATTTTAAAATTTTTTTTAAAAAAAATTCCCTCGTCCCATTTTTTAGTACCCGCCCAAATTTTTAGAGTTTTGCGCGACGAATATTAATGTCGCGCAAATATTTGCGCGACGAAATATTTTGGTTTTTGACTTTTTGTTTTATTATTTCTTTAATATTAATTTAATTATATTAATTATTTCGAATTTTTAATTTTTAAATTAAATTTAATTGTATGATTTTTTTCGTTACTTTAATTTAAATTGATATTAATTTAATTATATTAATTTATTCAAATGTTTACTTTTTAAATTTAATTTAATTACTTTAATTTAAATTGACATATTCAAAATAAAATTACATATGAAAAATAGTGATCAAATTATCCAATAAATATATATATAATATTCAAAATGTACACATAAATTAACAAAGTACAATAAAAAAAAAAGGGATAATCTCCCCTAAAATTGTTATACCACAAATCCAACCCAAACTCCAATCCCTCCCCTTTACTCAACCCCAAACCCCACACAAACTCAAAACTAACTCCAAAAACACATATTAATGAAAAAAAAATTAAAATTTGGAGAGAATCTACCTTTTGGCAAGATTGAGAGTGAGTGAGAATGAGAGAGAGAAATGAGTGTGAGAGAATTAGAGAAGATAGTGATAGAGAGATGAGAGAGTGAGTGAGAGTGAGAGATAGTGAAAAGAGAGATGAGAGAGTGAGTGAGAGTAAGAGATAGTGAAGAGAGAGATGATGAGAGATTAAGTGAGAGGAGTGAGAGTGAGAGAAATGGTGAGATTTGGGGAGAGGGAAAGAGAGAGGAGAGGAAAGAGTAGAGAAAGACATTGAGAAAATGATGGAGGAGTTATTTTTATTTTAAAAACCGTATCACTTTGCGCGACGAACGACATTGTTGGTCGCGCAAAGCTTTGCGCGACGAAAAATATTGGAGTATTGGTCGCACAAAGCTTTGCGCGACGAAAAATATATTGGTCGCGCAAAGTTTTGCGCGACGAATATTAGTATATTGGTCTCAAAGCAAAAAAAAAAAAAAAAAAAAAATCCCGCGTCCCATTTTTGGTACCCGCCCAAATTTTGAAATTTTTGCGCGACGAAAAATACATATTGGTCGCACAAAGTCTAAAAAAATTAAATAAAAAAATTCCCGCGTCCCATTTTTGGTACCCGCCAAATTTTTGCACGACGAAAATATATATTGGTCGCAAAGCTAAAGTATAAATTTTTTTTTATTTCCCGCGTCCCATTTTTGGTACTCACCCAAATTTTTAAAGTTTTGCGCGACGAATTGTTGGTCGCGCAAACTTTTGAAGAGACGAAAAATTGGTTCATAGTTACAAAAAAAATATTAATTATTAATAATAATTGTTAATAAATAATTATTTTTTTTTTTTTTTTTGATTTAAAATATAAATAAGGTTAAAGCTACTTAATAAATGTATATACCAATTTCTTAAGTGTTATACGTACAAAATAAATAAATTTAAAGCTACTTAATAAGTAAATATATATATATATATATACACACACCATTCAACGATCCAACCGTCAAACTTGTTTGTATATACTTCAAGATCGTATACCCCAAAAATTGTAAAAAAACAAACATTCGGAGACCTAGTAACGGGACAAAAAATTTCAACGGTTCTTAATGAAAAATCACGATTTAACGATTATTTTAACTCCGATTTTGATGATTTTTTACAGCTACACTCCTTGACCTTATATGAATACAATGAACTAATTCGATCGTCAATTTAAAATATTTACACTAGTGGATACCACAAAATCTTATGTTATACTTAACAAAAGTATAAATAAACTCTTAATTGTTAGTGAATATATTGTTTTGATGGCATACGCATTCAAAAAAACAAGTTTCAACGATCCAACCGTCAAACTTATTTGTTTATACTTCGAGATCATATACGCCAAAAATCGCAAAAAATAAACATTCAGAGATCAAGTAACGGGACAAAACTTTTCGACGGTTATAAATGAAAAATCTTGATTCAACGGTTATTTTAACTCCGATTTTGATGATTTTTTACCGCTACACTCCTTTACCCTATATGAATACAATGACTGAATTTGATCTTCAATTTAAAATATTTACACTAGTGGATACCACAAAATCTTATGTTATATTTAACAAAAGTATAAATAAACTCTTAATTGTTAGTGAATATATTGTTTTGATGGCATACACATTCTATGAAACTAGTTTGAACGATCCAACCGTCAAACTTGTTTGTTTATACTTCGAGATCATATACACCAAAAATCGCAAAAAATAAACATTCAGAGATCAAGTAACGGGACAAAACTTTTCGACGGTTATAAATGAAAAATCATGATTCAACGGTTATTTTAACTCCGATTTTGATGATTTTTTACCGCTACACTCCTTTACCCTATATGAATACAATGACTGAATTTGATCTTCAATTTAAAATATTTACACTAGTGGATACCACAAAATCTTATGTTATATTTAACAAAAGTATAAATAAACTCTTAATTGTTAGTGAATATATTGTTTTGATGGCATACGCATTCTATGAAACTAGTTTGAACGATCCAACCGTCAAACTTGTTTGTTTATACTTCGAGATCATATACGCTAAAAATCGGAAGAAATAAACATTCAGAGATCAAGTAATTGGACAAAACTTTTCGACGGTTATAAATGAAAAATCACGATTTAACGGTTATTTTAACTCCGATTTTGATGATTTTTTTATAGCTACACTCTTTGACCCTATATGAATACAATGAACTAATTCGATCGTCAATTTAAAAAATATATTTTCTAATAAAAACCCAATCCAAAAAACAATAATATATTTTTCTAACAAATATTTTAAAAAATATTTTATTTATTTTATTTATTTTTATAAGGACTTTGCGAGACGAAGTTAATTGTTTCGTCGCGCAAAGTAGCTTTGCGTGACGAATTGTTTTTCGCGACGAACTGTTTTTCGTCGCGCAAAGTTACTTAGAGCGACGAATTTTTTTTCGTCGCGCAAAGTTACTTTGAGCGACGAATTTTTTTTCGTCGCGCAAAATTTGGTCGCGCAAGACT